ATATAGAATATTTTGGATGCATATAATCAGATATGATGACATATTAGTCAACCGCTATTTTAGTATGCTGTCAATTGTTAAGGTTGTGCAGTGAAACTGTAGAAATCTGTAATCATAGAGCGAGGCACTAAACTCGTTTTGTTCATTGTTATATTGTGTGTTCATGGAATATTACCAATACATTTTGTTTCACGGGATAACTGTACATGTTAGAGTGCCTCAGGGCTAGATCAATTTCACGGATACTGTTAGGAGATTAGGATACTCTAGAAGAAGAGACAAAGCACAATGATAATATTTTAGTTTGCCAACAGGAATCACGTTGTAAATCATGATCAATTACTTAGACAATGTAGCCACCACCCTTACCGGTACAAAGTGACTGTAGACAATGCAGGTATAACATTCAAACGTTTAGACAGACTTACATGTGACATTATAGTAAAGATCAAAGCTTCCGACAAGAAAGGACCGATTGTACGAAGTGTGAATAGCGCTTTCCACGGGACAAATCCTTATCCAGCGGATAAAATCCATGCAAAAGGAATAACAGCCAGCATAAATTAAGAAGAAGAAATTTCTTTAGATCAGAGTGTTGAGTGGAAGTTCTGTCGCACAGGACCATCTTTTGATCTTCCTTTTCGGTTAGATAAAAAGCGCGATTATAAATTTGTATTTAATTAATCAAAAAATTTAATTAACTATTGAGAATTACAATTTCTTGATCATTGAAACTTGTGTGTAAAGTGGTAATTCCATGGGTTTAATTTTTCATTCAAAAAGGCAAGTACTAAAATACTAAAACCCAGAAAAAGATCTTATAATGTTTTATTCCCTTGGTTGTTGTCCTTTTAATTAAGGCGAGAAAGAGTCGTTATAACAAGATGGTTGATTGCCAATGGTATTTGACCTACTTCTGTTTAATCTGTTGTGGCTGTTGGTTTTCRTCTGCAGGTAGGTGATCGCCTTCATTGCYGAAGCTCAAGTTGTTAACTTTATTTCTACTTATATCATGAATATAGAAGTGTGTTTTTCCTGCCGTTGCCACTGAGTGTTTCGCGTTTCTTTTGGTGTTGTTTTTTAGTTGTTTTTTATCTACTGTTTTCAATCATTTTTTGTTATTATTTATTTTTATAGCTCCACGAGTTCAGGACGCTTTCAGTGATGACATCAACTCGTGCTTGTTCTCCAGTTGGAAGTCGGTAGTATCAGGCAATGTRCAATGTCAAAGTTATGGATCCGATTTCAAAGAGCTATGTTATGGTCTTAGTAAAACCCAGGCTGCTCTGTTCGTTGTGTGTTACGACACCAAGAAGCTGATACCTGTCTTTACTGCGCATGTCGTTGAACCTGTC